CGCTGCGGTCCGGCGACGCGCCGGCCATCGCGCTGCCGCCGAGCCTCGAGGACCCGGAGCCGGAGATCCCAGGCACCGCCGCGCCCGCGCCCGCCAAGTCGGAGGTCGTCGCGGAGGCGGCCGCGACGACGACGAAGAAGCGCGCCGCGGAGACGGAGAGCGACTCCTCGGACGACGAGCGGGACGCCAAGCGCAAAAAGGCCGCCAAGGACGAGGACGAGAAGTAGGCAGCGCGCCCCAGAAAAAAAGCACGCCGCCTTAAAGCACTCCGAGCGGGAATCACGTTGCACAGGCTCGCTCGAGAGCGGCAAAAACCTAGTAGAACCCGAGCCAGGGCGCCCAGAAGTCGTCGCATTCCGGCCGGTGCGTGTCGTCGTTCGCCACGAGCGCGGGCGCCTCGTGGAGGCCCATGACGCGGTCGCCCGGCGCGAGGAAGGGCGGCCACCAGTCCACGGGCGCGCCCGCCGCGCCGAGGCGCGCCCACCACGAGGCCATGTCGACGGCGAGCGCGTCGTCGCCGCGGCCGGCGTCGAGGAGGTAGGACTCGTCCTGCCCGTGCGCCGACGCGCCCGGCTCGGAGAAGTAGTAGGCGAAGGTCGTCGTCGCCGCGAGCGCGCGCGCGTGGAGCTGGCTCGAGCACGCGTGGCCCGAGTCCGACAGGATCCGCGCGAACGCGCGCCAGCGGCCCTCCGCGGCCGCGCGGCCCGCGTAGCGCGACGCGATCGCCGCCGCGTCGACGGCGGCCCCCGCGAAGTGGCGCGCCAGCGCGGACGCGTATTCGTTTTCGGAGACCTACCAAGCATGTCGGTAACGATGTTTCATCGTTTTCCCAGCCGACATCTCTCGAAAATCGTCGCGGCCGCGGGACGCCGGCGGAGACGTCGCGCTCCGGGCCGAACGCGGCCTCGGCGGCGCCGCAGCTCTCGCAGGACTGGCCCCCGACGATGACGGGCACCCGCGTCCACGCTCCGGCGCGGATGAGCCCGAGGGGCGTCTCGACGCCGTCGGCGCTGCGGTCGTCCGCGGGCCTCGCGCGCTTGAGCGACGGCGCGAACCTCGCGCCCTTCGCGGCGGCGAGGAGCGCCGCGAGCGGCGCGGCGCGCAGGCAGCTAAAATCGTCGACGGCGCAGCCGAGGGCCGCGGCGGCGGCGGCGCTCGCGTTCGCCACGACCGCGGGCGCCGCGAAGTCGTCGTCGGGCCGCGCGCCGGGCGCCATCCAGCCCTGGTGGCCGCCGGGGCTCTCGAGCGCCGCGGCCGAGAAGAGGCCCGCCGCGCGGGGCTCGACGAGCAGGTGCGCGACGGACGCGCCGCCGGCGGACACGCCGAAGACCATGACGCGCGCCGGGTCGCCCCCGAAGGCGGCGCAGTTGTCGCGGACCCACGCGAGCGCCCGCAGCTGGTCGCCGAGGCCCCGGTTGTCGCCGCCGAAGAAGCCGAGGACGCCGAGGCGGTACTGCGGCGCGAAGACGACGGAGCCCGTGAGCCGCGTGAGGTTCGCGGCGCTTCGCGTCGCCGCGCCGCTCACGAAGCCGCCGCCGTGGACGTAGACCATGACGGGCCGCCCGGGGACCATCGTCGAATACGCGTTGACGTAGAGGCAGTCCTCGCTCCCGCCCGACGCCTGCGCGCACTCGGCCGGCGGCGCCGACGCGCGCGTGCCGTTCCACGGCGCCGCGGCGGCGGCGTCGGCGAAGCGCAGCGGCGGCGCGGCGAAGGGGACGCCGAGGAATTCGGTGACATTGGCGGCCGCCGGCGCGCCGCGCACGGCGCCCTGCTTCGTGAGTGCGACGAGCGGGTCCAACGCGCTGGCAACATCCAGCAGGGCGCCGGTGAGCGCGAGCGCGGCGACCCAGGGACGGCGCGGAGCGGCGCGCGGCCGCGTCCCCGTCGTCGTCCGACGGCGCGCGGTGGCGCGCCTAGGAACGAGGAGTAGGGCTCCTCGAGGACAGGAATACATGGCCATGCTCTCGATGTGAGTTTCTTGCTGCGGCTGCATGTTGAAGTTCAAGTTACGCTAAGTTGCAGCCAAGTTACAACCCGTCCGGCGGGTCCTCGTCGCCCGCGGCGAGGGGCGAGACAAGTCAAGTTACACTACGTTACAGCTAAGTTACAACCCGTCCGGCGGATCATCATCGTCGCCCGCGGCGAGGGGCGAGACGACGGCGTCGTCGTCCGGCTCCGCGGCCTTGAGCTCGACCGCGGGCGCCGCGTCGTCGACGCTGCGCTCGACGCTCGCCGGCAGTTTCCGCGTGATGCACAGCGACAGGAGCATGAGCGCCGCGAGGGCCCAGAACACGGCGCCCGCGCCGACGAGGCCCGGCCGCCGCGCGAGGCCGATCGCCAGGCCCGTCGCGCCGACCGACGGGCCGACGGCCTTGCCGACGGCCTCGACCATGCAGGCGACGCCGTTGGCCGCGCCGCGGCGCTCGGCCGGGACGACGTTGTTGACGACGGCGCTGCCCGCGGCGAAGTTCGAGCAGCCCGACGCGTAGTAGCCGCACAGGGGCAGCGCGAGCACGACGAGCTTGACGGCGAAGGGCCGCGCCGCGAGCCCGCCCGCGAAGGGCACGGCGGCCAGCGACGCGGCCCCCACGAGCGTGCCGACCGCGAGGCTCCGCCGCTGGCCGAGCCGGCCCATGCACTTGGCCATGACCGTCGACGTGAAGAGGCACTGGAGCGCCGCGCCGGCCGTGAGCACCGTCGCGAGCTCTTTTCGCGTGAGCGCGAGGCCGCCCGCGTCCCGCGTCGCGATGGCCCAGAGCGGGATGAGGTCGAAGGTCGCGAAGAGCACGAAGCCCAGGACGAGCTTGAGCGCCACGACGCCGACGAACGGCGGCGACCGCAGCGGCGCCGCGGCGTCGCCCTCGGCGAGCGGCGCCGCGGCGTCGTCCTCGACGTCGCCGACGCGGCCGTACTGGGCCGCGCGCGCCGCGTCCGCGGCGTCGAAGGTCTCGTCGAGCCAGAAGAGGCCCAGGATCAGGTTCGCCAGCGCGAGGCCCGCGCCGAGGAGCGACGGCGCGAGCGCCGGGAACGCGGCGATCCGCCCGTAGAGCAGCGCCGCGGCCGCGGGCGCGAGGAGCTGCGTGAGCGTGCCGCCGGAGAGCAGGTAGGAGTTGACGAGGTTCTGCCGCTCCGCGCCCGCGACCTCGCCGGCGTAGAGGCCGGACAGCGACACCCAGCCGCTGCCCGCGCCGAGGAAGACCGCGCGGACCGCGAGCGCCGCGGGCAGGCGGCGGCAGAACCCAAAGGCCAGGTTGCCCACGAGGTAGCCGAAGAGCGTCAGGAGCAGCGCGGGCCGCCGGCCCCACTTGTCCGCGACGCGGCCCCAGAGCACGGCCGTGAACAGGCGCCCGAAGGTCAGCGCCGAGCCCAGGTACCCCGCGAGGTAGCCCGCCTCGTCGACCGTCGCGCTCCAGCCGAGGTCGACGCAGAGGAAGCCCGCGTAGCTGAAGAGGCTGCAGATGGCATAAAAATGCGTCATGCCGCCGAGCGCGAGCACGAAGACCGGCCGCCAGGGGAAGGGCGCCTCGGCGCGGCTCAGCTTGTCGGGCGGCGGCCGGCACATGGCCGGCCGCTGCAGCGCTGCTGGCGACGCGCCGCGGCGGCTGCTGCTGGGCGGTGAGGACTGAGTCTGTGCCGCTCTCGCGGCTGCTGTTGCTGGGCGGTGAGGGCCTGACTGGGTCTGTGTCGCTCCTCGATGGGCAGCCTCATCCTTTTGTATCGCGCCGAAGGTCAATTGAAGGTCTTGTTGCAGTGTCTTGAACTCAGGTCAGCCTTCTCGAGCCGCGGCGCCGTCGGCACCGACCGCTGCCAGCGCCAAGAGCGTGCGAAACGCTGCACATCGCAGCGCTGCGTCGACGCAAACCAGCGCTGCAGCGCACGCGTCGCGAACCGCATCAAAAACACGCACGCATGGTGGTCCTCCGGACGAGGCGCTACGCGCGCTGGGTCGTGCGCGGCCTGCTGTCGGAGCTCTGGTCGAACGTCGGGCCGTCGCGGCGCTTCGCGGGCCCGCCGGTCGCGCCGCGCGGCGCGCCGGGCTGGGCCGTCGTCACGGGCGGCACGGGCGCGATCGGCGAGGCCGTGTGCCGCGGCCTCGCGGCGCGCGGCTACGACGTCGTCGTCGGCGCGCGCGACGCCGCGAAGGGCGCCGCCGTCGCCGACGCCGTCGCGCGCGACTTCGGCGTGCGGTCGCGCGCGGCCGTCGGCGACGTCCGCGACGCGGCGACGTTCGCCGGCGGCGACGACGCGCCGGTGTTGTTGGTCAACAACGCGGGCGTCATGGGCGTCGCGCGCGACGAGACGCTGCGCGTGAACCTGTTCGCGCCCGCGGGCCTGAGTTTCACGCTTCTCGACGGCAACGCCGACCTCCGCGTCGTCAACGTCTGCTCGTCGAGCCACCTCCGCGCGGGGCGGTCCGCGGCGACCGCCTCGGGGATGCCGGCGTCGACGGGAGTTTGGAGGCCTACGCCGAGAGCAAGCTCGGTCTCATGCAGCACACGGCGGCGCTGCGGCGGTCCGGCGTCGACGCGCGCGCGTGCCATCCCGGTTTGGTGTGGACGCCCATGATGCGGGGCTTCTTCGGGCCGCGGCTCTGCGCCTTCCTCGGGCCCGTGCGCCGTCGCTTATTTCGCACGCCGGAGCAGGGCGCCGCGACGGTCCTCGCCGCGGCGCTCGAGGAAAGTCTCGAGGACGCGGACGGCGACCTGATTTACTTCGTCGACGGGAGACTCGCGCCGCGAGCGGCGTCGCCCGAGGCGCGGACCCAGGAGCTGCCGCCGGACGTCGCCGCCCTGCTGCGGCGCGGCGTGTCGTAAGTGGCATCCGTCTGGGCGAGTCGAGCAGGTGTGGGTCGTCGAAGGCGCCCGTACGGACGCGTGTGGAGGCGTGTGTGGACGCGTCGGGGACGCGTCCATTGGCATCGCGTCCTCCGATCGCGATATCGGTTTGTACGGCCGCCAACCGCGCTGCCGCGCGCGCGCCCGCGCTCGACGTGCGGCGGACGCGCTCGCTGCCGGCGAGGTCGACGAAGAGGC